CTCAACACCTTCTTGAGGCTGAGTTTGGTGAACAGCCAATGGCACCCACCCCCCCCCCCCCACAGAAAAAGAGTTCAGTATGTCATGATGTAAAGCTCCATCCCAATACCGATGCGCAGACCTTCTTGTGCAGTTTCCAAACCTGAGCCAGCCGTGTTAGGCTTCCATGTTGCTCTTCAAAGGGATCTTTCCAGGATAGAAATCCCGCAATACATTTGACACATTAGCATGCTGCATCATGCTTGGCTCTTTTCGTACGATATGTCGCCACAAAAATCGCCCACGAGATGCGTCTTGCATGTGCGGGGGAAGGTCCGGCCACCCAAGCACACGTGCATGCGGCTGGCCCCGGAGGTGGGTGGGTAAAAAAAGGGGTGAAGGGCTCCAGTAGTGCTGGGTAGGGGGCCCGTTGAGAGAATTAGAACCGCAAAGTAGGACTCAGAACCCAACCAAGGGCCTGGCTATACTAACTTTAGCTAAGGGAAGTATAACCTGAGAAGTAGGACCCAATTAAGGGCCCTTAGAACCCTGCTTATAACTGGGGGGGGGGCCTACACGCGTTCAGCCAAGAGTGGAGCTTCTGTCGGGCCTGCATGTCTGGAGAATCATTGCGATCGGCATGCTCTTTTTCTGCTCTCCAAACTTTGGGTTTCGGATCTGAAAGGAGTGCTTGATTAAGGTTAGTCGTCAGGGTCTGTGATTGAGGCTCTGGGTCGAGCTGCAGCCCTTGCAACAGACATGTTTAGCGGCGTAACGGTTGATGGGGCATGCTGGTGTCTCCCAGGAACCTTGCAAATGCCATGTTGTGACCATAGCCAGGCTCCATGTTTTTCCAAAGTATCCGCAAGCCAGGAAAGTGCGAGACCGGTTTGCTGTTCTGGTTTGCACACTCTGGCGTGTGCAGGCGAGGGTTGCAGACCTCAAGTGTGAATTTCTCTCGTTTTGAGGGGCCCCTCTCTAGCTCCCTCTCCCTCCCTCTTTCTCTCACATTCTTTTCCTCCTGCCTGCAAGCCTCAGCCCCTCCGTTCCCTGCCCCCCCTCCCCCGCTTTCCCCTAAACCTGAAACCCTCAACCCTAACCCCTCCCCCTTTGCTTTGACTGGATGGACGCGCACCCTAGTAACCTTTTGTCCCTCATCGCTTGGAGACCCTTCCGCGACAGGCCATGAACGAGCTTGCGGGGACTTTGTCGCCACTGGGCTGCATTGCTGGTTCGTGGGGTTATCGGGCTAGGGCTTACAGGGTTCAAGGTTCAAAGTTAGTAGGTCTGATGCTCGGAGTCTGGGTGCACATAAGAGGTTTGAGGGTTTCAGGTTTGCCCCCTGGCTGGGTTTAGGCCTTCGCTGTGTGCTTGGTGTTGGGCAAGACCACCAAAAGAGAACACGGGCTCCGAATTTCGCGTTGCTGGCCATGTACGGACTCCTGGTGCTTGCAACGGAGGTTGAGGACAGCAGCAAGCTTCAGCAGCAGAACCCTGAACTCTAAAGGCCCGAAACTTACCAGGTTACTATTGTAAAACCCTCATCAAATTCTTGGGTAGCCTACAAAGCACGGGTAGGCTTTTTGGGTGTTTGAGGTAGCCTGGGCCTGGATGCAAAAACGGTAGTTGAGTTGTTCTTCCTCCGATTGCGCATGGATGGTGTTCCCCATTCATCCCAAGCAGTGTTTTGTTTGTGCTTCACCCGGTCACCCGGTCACCCGGCCCTCAGCCCTAAACCCTAACCCTAAACCCTAAACCCTAAACCCTAAACCCTAAACCCTAAACCCTAAACCCTAAACCCTAAACCCTAAACCCTAAACCCTAAACCCTAAACCCTAAACCCTAAACCCTAAACCCTAGCCCTAGACCCCAAACCAGTTTTGTGGCTGCAGGCGCTTGTGCAGAGCAAGGCCGGCGGACGTTGCTCTGTTGAGGAGATGAGTACAGGTAGCCATCGTACATGGACCCTCTCACCCCCCCCCCCCCCCCCCCCCCCCCCCCAAACAAAAACAACAACAACAAACAGGTTCAGGGTTTAGGGGGGTTTAGGTTTAGGGGTCTTTGGGTTTCAGATACCCAAACCCTAAACCCTGGACAAAAATGTCCGGCTCGGGAGACATTCGCCCTAGCCCATCATGTGCTTGCTCTTGGCGTATGCACGGGGCAGGGCTCGCCAGAACGTTGGGTTTCTGGATGAATCAGGGAGAGTCCGTTATGTGGGGGTGTGGATCCCCTGAGACCGCCATGAGACAAATAAAGTACATGGGTGGTTGTCAAAAATATGATCCCTTTTGGGGTACCCTAACTATTAGGCGCCGCATGATAATCGGGATCCAAAAAGGGACCATAAGTTTGACAACCACCCACATCCCTTATTGCTCGGTTGAATACCTCGGCATGCTTGGTCTTGCAAGGCAAGCAGAATTGTGGCCAAGACTCGAGTTTAGTGCAACACCACTGTAATGAAGCAGGTCCGGGCCTGGGGGCTGCTGCCAGCCCCCCCTGAGCCAATCGAGACGGTGGTGCAGCCGCTTTGAGCATTGGGTGTGTTGGGGCATTTTTTTATGGAGGCTGAAGGGCAGTGGGGGGCTACTGAGACGAGTTGGGTGGGTTTCCGAAAGACAATCTAGCTTGGCTCTTGCTTTTTCAGCTCCTTCTGCGCCGGACAGTTGCATCGCCCAAATCACCGGCGCATTAAACCCAAACCCCAAACCGCCTGGGAGCTCAAGGTTTAGGTCTCTAGGGTTCAGGATACAGGCCCGAGGTGTTAGGTCAGCATCTCGGGCTTCCTCAGGGTTTAGGATTATGGTAAGAGGGTTCAGGGTTTAAGCTCTGCACCCGGGATTTTATCATCTTGCCAGCCATGAGCCCTCAAGGCCTGGAGGGTTTGGTAGTGGCTCTTCAAGCCCAAGAAGAAATAAATCCCCAACCCCAACCCTAAACCCTAAACCCTTATGTAGGCCTGGACTTGGGCCGAGGATTGCGCGACGGAAGTGAGAAGCTGCCAGAGTGTTCTGACTTGGCAGCGGGGTTTCGCTTGATTGCCTGAACGTCTGCATATTCACATATAAATATAGAAATAAAATAAATATAAATATACATCGAATTATAAATATAAATGTAGATATAAATACATATATATATATATATATGCACATGCATGCATGCGACATACATGTATACATACCGATATGTATAGATATGTGCTTTAATATAAATATGAATATAAATATAAACATAAATAAATAAATAAATATATATATATATGTATACATAGAGAGAGAGAGAGAGAGAGAGAGAGAGAGAGATAGACAGATAGTTTTACTAGAAGCTTCCCACAGAGTGAGGGGAGACTGGAGTCTCTGCTGTCACTATCGCAGCTTGACACTTGCATTTGCAGGGTTTAGCAAGCATTCAGGTTTGTCCCTTATTACCTTTTTGCGAGGCGCGCACCCCAAACCCGGCTCGTCAGCGCATTCAAGAAGAGCCCATGCGGTCAATGCTGCCACACATTTCGCATCCTCCTAGTCCTGCGACATAGCCAAGTTGCCAATTCGGCGCATGCGGCGTTTGGAGATCGGACAGATTCCTTCAAGTTGCGGGGGGGAGCGTGATGATCTCCCACGGATCCCTAAACCCTAGCCCTAAACCCTAAACCCTAAACCCTAAACCAGACAGTAGCCCTGATTTTCCCCGAACCCGGTGGACACCCCCATTGAGATGCCGAGATCCGCGGAGTCGCAACAACTCGCGCTGACGGAATCCGTTTCATGGGGCTTCCTCCAGCTGATGCCCTAGGGTTTAGGGTTTAGGGTGTGGGGTATAGGGTTTAGGGCTGCATGAGATTATGAATTCTGCGGCTTATTCGAATGGGGGTTGGTAATTGGTAACGTAGGAGCTGGTTCCTCAGAGTTGGCATTCGGGTGCTGTGTGTGTTGTCTTTACAAGGGGGGCACTGACACTCATTTGGGCTGAGTTGCATTTTCACGAGCTTCGGACAGCCCCGAAACCGCTGACTTAGAACGACTAGCTTTGGTCGGTTTTCCAGATACGGGTATTAGCACCTTAAACTCTATAAACCTTGGGATGTTCGCCCTTGTACTAGCCCCCTATTATAATCCCTACTAAGGACTGTTAGGATAAAACCATTCGGAGGAAGCTCAATTAGACGACGGAGGGATGAAGAAGGCTTAGCTGTGGGGTCTTGTGCTTCGACGTGTTTTTGTCTGATGGGCCGGGTGCTAGAACGAACCGTGCAAAGGAGTAGGGTATGCAGGGTCTCTTGGGACAGGGTGCTTCTGCGTGTAGGGGCATTGTAAGGGGGCCCCCTACTTGTAGAGACCTTATACGAGCTTTTGCCCAGTGCAGACCCACAGCTCTCGTTCCTCTTCACCGTACTGCGGCGTGTTGGCGGAAGAAACGGCCGTGGGCTATTCACTTTGGGAACTCCATGAACCCAAAAAGGGTTTATGGTTCATAGATTATGGTTCATGCACCTTCAGTAGTAGTAGTAGTAGTAGTAGTAGTAGTAGTAGTAGTAGTAGTAGTAGTAGTAGTAGTAGTAGTAGTAGTAGTAGTAGTAGTAGTAGTAGTAGTAGTAGTAGTAGTAGTAGTAGTAGTAGTAGTAGTAGTAGTAGTAGTAGTAGTAGTAGTAGTAGTAGTAGTAGTAGTAGTAGTAGTAGTAGGAGTAGCAGTAGGAGTAGCAGTAGTAGTAGCAGCCCAATGTTAGGGTTCCGTTGGCTTTCAGGGCAGCAGCTGGGATAAAGCGCTCTAAGGGCCAGAGGCCCACCCATTCTTCGGCTTCTCTTGGTTGCGATTGGTTGGGCTTCTTTGGAGGAGCGTCTTTTCTAAACTCTAGTCTCCTGTACACCCTTGAACACAAAAACTGCCCAGGAAAGAAAGCAATTCCTGAATGATTCGGAAGTTCGTTAAGACCCTCCTATTTGCAGTGGCTTCGGTGTCGAAATCTCTACACTGCGTTTTGGGGGGTTATTAAAACGTGTTGTTTCTTGAGCACCTAGGTCTACAGCACCACTGGCAACATGGGCTTCTTCATCATCGATGGCACAGACGGCTGCTGGGCTGTCGATTCGACACGCAAGTGTATTAGATGAATACGGCCCACCCTCAAGTACCGTTTATACTTCCCCGAAACCCTGAACCTGGAAGAGCTCCCTGTGCAGCCTAGTCCCAATCTGCAGCCTCCCAGAACACCTCACCAAGCACTGTACCGTTTTTTGATCCCCCCTCGATTTCCAAAGAGGCCAAAACCCCCTGTGCAAGCTGCCCCAACCCCCGTGAAAGCCCTGCACCCCTAGACTGAAACGGCGTTCGTTTGCCTAGGCACCGGCTCATGGCAAAGCCAGCAAAGGATCCGCTTTGCACAGGCACGTGGGGGATAGCGGGTTGAGGGATGGAGTCGGATGGAGGGTTCTAGTGTTCTAGTTTAGGGTTTGGGGACTGGGGTTTAGGGTTTAGGGTTTTTGGGGTTGAGGGTTTAGGGTTTAGGGCCTTTAGGGTTTAGGGCAACCAACTCCTGAGTCTGATAAGTTGAAGTAGACGGGATGGTTGCATTCTGCTAAGCCCTGAACTAGAAGGTGCCTCTTCAATCCTAAACCCTAAACCCTACACCCTAAACATAGTCTTGAGAGCTTTGTTCAGGAGACTCATGGTCCTGCGCTATGGTTCAGGGCATGAAGTTCAGGGATGTCGGGTATCTAACCCTAAACCCTAAACCCTACAGTCAATGCAGGCAACAATGGAAGGAATCTGAAATCCCCTTCCGATTCCTGCCAGGACAAGTTCCAGTTCACCGTATCTGCAGGCCGTGCCACGCCCAAAGCCAGGTTTGGGTCGAACTTCCCGGAGTTCCCAGCTGCTCTGACGTCTGAAAGCTGCCTTCTCACGTTCACTCATGTCAGGTGTGTTTTCCTCAGTCCCTGGCTGGCGAAGTCCACAACCTCTTCGGTAGCACCCTCTTGATCTCTAACCTTGGAGACCTGCAACAACGATTCCTTGAGAGGTGACTGGGGCTTGTGTGTGGCCTCGGATTGTGACAGCGAGGTTGGCAACAGGACAGGGGCACAGAGCGAGAAGCCCGGGTGCTATTTTTGTAGGAGATTGTTCAGGGGCTTGGATGCTTAGGGGTCCAGTCTACATAGTGACTTGCGGAAACAGAGTGCCGTAACAGAGATAGAGGTTTAATGTCTCAACAGGAGACAACGCCCCCTGACTCTGAATGCTAGTGGGTGCGTGCCCTCCCCTAAACCGAAAAGCCCCCAATCCCTGAGTGCTCAGACTACGCGCGCCGGTTGTCGATAGTCCCAGGCTCCAAGCCCTGTCGAGGAAATCCTCTTAAACCCGTCTAACCCTGAACTCCACGTGCCCAATTCTTACAGCTCTCAAAAGAAAGCAAACAATGATGAAGTCGTACGAACCCAACCCGCAGAACACCGTATAAGCCCCGAAGCCATGGCAGCCCCCAAAGCCGGAACTCCTAAACCCTAAACCCTAAACCCTAAACCCTAAACCCTAAACCCTAAACCCTAAACCCTAAACCCTAAACCCTAAACCCCCTGTTTAGGCCATAAGCCGGTCCTGGAACTCGCAGGACCAGACCGGTGGACTGCCGCGGCACGGACGGAAACCTCTACGATGTGGACCTCGTGTGTCCGTGTTCTACCCAAAGCCTCTTATCTAGTACCTTTTTGGGGTATACTGTTTTTAGAGTCCCATATACCTTTTTGGGGTATACTGTTTTTAGAGTCCCATATACCTTTTTGGGGCATACTGTTTTTCTAGAGTCCCATATAACTAACCCGAAAAGGAACTGAATTCGAGCCGTCAGGTAGAAAGGATTTTGGACGTTCTTTTGTTGCCTGGAATGGTCCAGGAATCGGTTTTTTGTTGGGAGGGTCTTTTGACGTCGGCCGCTGCGCGTCGCCCGCATAGGCCCGATCATCACATCTATTAACTTAAACTCCCTGAGAATTGGTATTCCTCAATGTCTTAGGCTCAGTGCCAAAAACCGAGCACGATAGCGTTGGGGGCGGGATGGCATACGGACTCCGGCAAAGGCTGTCGGTCCGAAAAGCGGACTTTTGTGTCAACCCTAAACCCTAAACCGCGGAAACTTTCAGAGTCAAGTTTGGGTTTGGGGTGGCGGGCTTCAGGATTCAGGGGGCTTCTTCGGGGTTCAGGGAGGGCTACACGAGCCTGGGTTCAAACAAAAGGGCTCGCCAGGGGTTTAGGGTTTCAAGATCTAGCGTTTAGGCACAGATCGGTGGAGGACCCTTTCTGCTTGTCGGTCTGCTCGGATTCGCTGCCCGACTGGCACGACAGTGAGGGCGACAGTACCATGACTGCAAAGTCGTGAAGTAACAGTTGTTGTGGGGTCCGAAGGGCGTATACGCCCTGTTTTAGATGGCCCCGGGTTTGCGTGCAGGCTTTGGGGGTAAAAACAAGCTCTTGATTGGGAGTTTGGCAGGACGTGCAGCTGGGAGGTTTCGATCGTCACAGACCTACACATACAATACTTCAAAGCACAGAGTTCTCCTTCTGGCGCGCCCAAACGAAATTGGGCACCAGCAGCTTTTCAGCCCGAGCCCCTGAGACCAGCAGGGCATCCTCCCAAGCAAAGGGTCAGGGTTTAGGGTTTAGGGGTTAGGGGTTAGGGGTTAGGGGTTTAGGGTGCCCAGATTTCGAAGCTCTCAGCACCAGCATGGGTTGAGCATTCAGCCCTACTGGGGACAAGTGTACATCTACGCAACAGTCTGAGCAGGTTGGGCCTTTCCTTGTAGTTCCGAGTCCGATCTTCCTTTCATTACTGTGCTATATGGGGTTTAGGGTTTCGAGTTTTTGGTGCAGTACGCGCGTGACTTTGCAGGTTTGTGGAGTGTCGGTCGTTGTATGTATGTTTGAATGGACAGAAAGTTTTTCGAAGGCCCTTGCAAGCTGACCTCAGAAGTCGGGGCTCAAAAAATAGCTTTTGTGCAACCCAAAAGCTTTGGCTTCTTGCTTGAGATTGTGCCACCTACGAGAAGTTTCAATGGTGCACGGCGGAGGGGGCCGTTGGCCCAGGCCTTGTTTTGGGTCGAGGAGCTTTGGGTTTAAGGAGTTTAGGGCTTAAGGAGCTTTACCCTAAGCCTTAAACCCTAACCCTGAACCCTAAAACCTTACTAAACCCTAAACCCTAAACCCTACACCGCTTAGGGTGGTTTAGAAAGAGTCTTGGTGCCTTGGGCCGAGTTCCATTGTTAATCCTCAGTCTCTGGGTTTGAGGAGATACCTTCCGAGCTCTAGTCTCTTGAACTGCTTAACTGCTTACTATGACTACACATGTTTCTTTTGCTTTTTCGCAAGTAGTCTTGTTACTGTTATTGTGGTCTTGCTATGGTTCTTTTCTAGGTTCTCAGGGAGAATCGGCCGGCAGTGGCCCACATGCCAGACGTTGAACCCAAACCATTTCTAGATGGTCAGTTGTCTACTACTGATACAACCCTATATAGACCCTTTCAAGGGGCCTGAGGTTGACAATTGCAAGTTTGCTTCATTGCATCTTGTTTGTTTGCTCGCTTTGCGCCAAGAACCTTGCAGCGCGTTTCGCCACACTGTGCAGGAGCGCAAAACAGAACGGGGCCTGTACTGGGAACCGTCCGTCATGTAGAGAGCTGCCCATGCACCCATAGTGCCGCAGAGGTTACGAGGAGGCCTACGTATGCCTGAAAGTGGTCTCCCAGATTTTGCTCGGTAAGGCTAGGGTGTTCTTTGCGCTTGCACCTGGCTGCCTTGCTATTCTCCCTAAACTCTAAACCCTAAGCCCTAAACCCTAAACCCTTTCTATACAGAGGCGTGCCGCGCATCCCACCCTCTCGCTTGAAAAGGCTGGAGTTTCTTCTGGGGACCTATTGGCAATTATGCCCTGGGCGGCTACGATGCCTTGGCCGTGTGCTGATCCTTGGCTGGCCCAGGTTTAGGGTTTAGGGTTTAGGGCAACCATGAGCAGTGGAGCCTGTCTTCGGTGGTGGGGGGGGGGGTTAGGGTTCAGGGCGGCCCCGGTGGTTCCGATACTTGGCTCGTACTCAGAAGAATTGATCCGATTGATCCTAAAGGACAGCAATGGCGGAATCCAAGTGATCAGCCGCCCTTCAACCTAAATCCCTACATTGGGGTGCGTGGGAGAATACGGTCTGGCCCCAGAGAACCCAAATCTTGCAGGACCGGTAAAGGGGGGTAAGGGCCACAGAGACCCAGAACAAGGAATAGCACCCAAGCAAGGTTGAAGATCGACCTTACAATCATCTGCAAAAAGTAGAATATCCCAGCCCTGGGCTAGAGGCCCAAAACCCAGATTTCCAACACGGAACGTCCTGCCGCCCAGGCTCCCGAAGCCTAAACCGCTAACCCTTACACTTACAACCTCAAGCCCATAAAGGAAGCCTGAGCCCTGAACACAGGCCCGTAAATGAAGCCTAAACTTAAACCCTAAACCCTGAACACAGGTACGTGCGGAGGAGGTCCCTCGGCTCAGACGCAGTATCGAAACCAGCTCGGGACGACAGTGTGACACCTATATCCCCCTTGGGAATTGTTTTTGTGTTTTTCTTTATAAAGCCCGAAAGGGTATTAAACATATTGTTTTTTATTAAGGTTCTAAGGGGAGTATAGACACAGGGATGGGAAGTTTCGGATTGGAAGTGCATACGTTTACACACATTTCGGGGTATTGGCCAAATAAGATCGCAGTCCAACAGCGCAAACAAAGAGTGGGACAGAGCTTCTTTGCCATGCCCTATTCGGCTCTGTGTTTCAGATGGCCTCAACTTCCTTGTGACAGTGAAGTTCGCTCCAGTTTTGCGGTTGTGTTGGCTCTTGTTGTGGAACGTAATAAATACTCTACCCGGATGCCCTCTCAGGCAGCATGTGGAGAGCATAATTTGCAGATCGCACCCTGCATGGTCTCTTTAAATGATGGCCCCCTACCCCTGAAAAGAGACTGGACTGAACCCTAAGCCCTACTGCATCAAGAGTGGTTCGTCCAGTTACGTGGGTGCCAAAAACACATCCAGATGCTGTGGTACTGTAAGGACTCGCGAAGTGGGAGGGTGTACACAGGATTGTGGAACTTCCAAACTTGTTGACATTATTGGCTGCTAGAACCCCCAGGGAAACCCTCGCCTTGTACCCCCACGAAGCTCGGGCAGAGGTACGCGAACCGTGACGCCTGCTGCCCAGGAGGTTTGCTCAGAGAGCCTTGGCTTTGGATTTGAGGCGCCGGTCAACATCTGGGGCTGAAACCCGAACCCTAAACACCCTAATCGGGGAATGTTGCTGCATCAGTGGGTGTCAGACTTGCTAGCTGCTTGGAGGGTAGCGTAGTACGACGTTTTCTGTCTAGTTTTGGCGCTGCCCTCAAAAGTAGGCGTGGCTTGGTGCCTCCCTCAGAAGTAGGAGTTTGGCGCCGTTAAGAACAACACGGGGAATGTTTGTCATAGGCTTTCAAGGGCTTCTTCCATCTTTGGGTTTGCGAGAGGCCGGGGCGGCTGTTTGGTAACAAGGTTGTGTACCAAACTCCTTTGGCTTGTGACTTGTTTGCTTAGGCTACCTGGGCAGTCGTAGGTGTCTGTTGGAAGCTCAAAACGTAGGGTGCAGGGCCGGAAGATGAGGAATAGCTCAAGGACCTGAAACACACTTGTCTTGTAGGTTGCCTCAAGTACCGGCAAAGTTCTAGAGCCCCGCCCCTCCCGCTAGGGTTTGGGGTTTGGGGTTTAGGGTTCAGGGCACATCGTCAATGGCTCGCTCCTGTTTCGTTTGGACCCCATAAAGCCTTAAACCCTTGCTTGGCGCGTGGCAAAACAGACCTGATACCTTAAACCCAAACCCCAACACCCTAAGGAGAGGGTGTTTCGTTTGAGTTTGTTTTTAGGGTAGCATGGCTTTTTAGCGAGACGCTCATCAGCCGGACAGGCTGTGCAGTTTTCGCACACAGTGACACCCCGAGCCCTACATCTAAATCCCCCTTGGATTTTTTTTAATTTTTTCCTTAAAAAAACCCAAGAGGATATCAAACATGTTGTTGTTTAATAAGGTTCTAAGGGGAGTATAGGCATCCCAACCGGAAACCTTCGGAACCGAGGAACCTCACCTTTCCCGACCGCGATTGCGATGGCATCCCCGAAGCTCAGGGAAGCAGAAGTCATGTTTGGGGGGGGGGGGGGGGGTTCTCCCATGACGGGTCCCCTAACCCAGCAACTCTGAGTCTAAGAAGAACACCCCCTTATACCCCCTTTCAAGGGTCCCCCCCATAATAAGGAGAGTTTGGAGTATGACTGCTGAGACAGAAACCCCTTAAGCCTGAAGGCATAGATCCCGGCGTTCTAAACGCTTCGCATTTTCTGGGAAGTTCGTGGCTATGGCGTTAGCTTAAACGGTTCTCAACACTTGGGCCGGGAAGTTCCGTCCTAAACCCCAAACCCCCCTAAACCATAAACCCTATAAACCCTAAACACTTTTCTAAGTTCCAAGGTGAGGGATGAGGGAGTCGGATTTCATTGCTGGGCTGCCAGCTTCTGGTAGGGAATGTGGGAAGTCATCCTAAACCCTAAACCCTGTACACCCTAAACCCTAAACCCTAAACTTCCCTGCAGAGTGGCCGAAAGGTCAGCTAGGCGGGTGGCAACAAAAAAACCTAAACCCTAAACCGTAATAAACTATATATATATATATATCACAGGGGAAGCTATATAAATTTATAAACTATGTAGCTCACAGCTGTCTTAAGAGGATCTGTGAGGCTCCTTCGGCATGAACGGCTGAGGCACCACCGGAAGAACTAGGATTGTCTAGGGGCATGGGGAAGTAGGGTGTATGTATTCTTGTAAGCCCCCAAAGGAAACACCAAGTATCTGCGCTCACCAATATTCAAAAGCGACCCTATATACACTCACCAGAAACAGCACAACAAACCCTGTTTCA